CCTGTTGTGAGCTCTGTGCCACAGCTCTGTACTGCCCCTGCCGTTTCTACGTGAAGATTCAGACGTCCCTCCACCCTGCTCTCCCAGGCACCCCTTACAGTGTGGGGGAAGCGTCACCCACATGGCAGCAAACCAGGAGGACTCCTGCTCCTTGGCGCGAAGCAGGCGGCACAGCGTAGCCAGAGCCCGGGGGAAGGCAGGGCTCTGCAGCACGTGGTCATGCCCCTCCTTGTTGGCAGCCAGGCAGCTGAGAGCAAAGCAGGCGTTCCGGCTCTCCCCTGCCTCCGCGCTGGCCATCATGGACACCAGGGCATGGATCTGAAAAGGAAACACCTCACCTAGTGCCTGGTCCTCGGGCAGCAGCCGCTGGGGGCAGCGCCAGCCTCCTCCCACGGCTGCGCCTGTGTTGGGTTCCCAGTGGTTGTCCAGCTGGACAGCGGGAGCACAGCTTGACGCTGTGCCACGCCATTGCTGGCTGCCTTGTCGTCTCCTAATGTGCCCGGGGGGCTGGGCCGGGCCAGGGCGGAGCAGTGCCCAGAGCAAACCCAGGCTGCCACTGAAAATGAGCGTTGGGGAAAGGTGCTGTCTGTTTGTGCCCAGACCAGGCACAGCATGGGCAGCTGCAGGGCAACCTACCCCCCTGCTACTCTGCTGCTGTGCCCAACCTGACCGGGGCCGAAAGGGGGGCGCTAGCTAGCCCCACGCAGTCTAGCCGGAGACTGCCTCAGCAGTTTTGGGGGTGGAGACACCTCTTCGCTTCCCCCCACCCAACGCATGGCAAAGGGGCAAGGGCATGATGGGAACCACTACTGACCTGGGTGCTTCCCAGCAGTTTAGAGGGGAGAGGCTCCCATTCCCAGTCCTCTGTGCTGTGCCCTGGAGGCAGGAACCTGTAACCGCTCTGCGTGCTGCTCTCACAGGACAAGGGCCACAGCACGGACACTGGGCCTGTGCCAGTAGTGTCAGGATAAGTGGCACCCGCGCCGTCCCCGCTGAATGTGTGTGAGCTGGAAACCCCCCACGCAGAGCCGCTGGGGAAACTCCCAAATCTTCTTCTTGGAAACTATCCTCCTTTCAGAGCACGTGTTGTACAGGCCGAGTTGTCCAGTGGTTAGAACAGGGGCTGGGCGTCCTGAGCTCGGCCCCTGACTCTCTGGGTGACCTTGCGTGCAGCACTCCCCTGCTCTGTGCCTCAGTTTCCCCAGCTGTAAAACAGGGCTAACGCTACTGCCCCACCTCACCAGGAGTGGTGGGGCTAATGAATGCCTGTGAAGTGCTCCGAAATCCTCCAGGGAAGGGCACTAGGGATGAGCAGGGGCTATTGCCATACTGGCTGCAGACCAGCCTGGGGCTGCTGGGGGAGCCAAGTCTGGTGCAGAGCTGGGGCTGTGGATTTGGGAGGGACACAGAATGCCCTGTTACTCTCCCTCTGGTTGATGTAAGGAGCCGCACTGAAGGGCTGCAGAGGGGAGGATCCCTGGACTCCAAGTCCACCCCCTGCTGCTGCTAGGGTTGCCAACTTTCTAATCGCATAAAACTAAACACCCCGGCACCGCCCCTTCCCCGAGGCCCCGCCCCTTTACCCACCCCTTCTCTGAGGCCCCACCCCTGCTCGCTCCATCCCTCTTCCCTCCATCACTCACTCTCCCTCATCCTCACTCACTTTCACTGGGCTGGGGCAGGGGGTTGGGGTGCGGGAGGTGGGGATGAGGGCTCCGGCTGGGGGTGTAGGCTCTGGGGTGGGGCCAGGGATGAGGGGTTTGGGGTGCAGGAGGGGTCTCCGGGCTGTGGCAGGAGGTTGGGGTGCGGGGAGATGTGAGGGCTCCGGCTGGGGGCTCCGGGGTGGAGTCGGGGTTGAGTGGTTTGGGGTGCAGGAGGGGGCTCAGTGCCGGGGCAGGAGGTTGGGGTGTGGGGGGCTGCAGGGTGTGGGCTCCGGCAGGAGGTTGAGGTGCGGGAGGGGACTCTGGGCTGGGACAGGGTTTGGGGAGCGGGGTCCCGGTGGCGCTTACCGCGGCTCCCAGGAAGTGGCAGCCAGGTCCCTGCAGCCCCATGGGCGGCCAGGGAGGCTCCGCGCGCTGCCCTCATGCCCGCAGGTGCCGCCCTCACAGCTCCCATTGGTCACAGGTCCTGGCCAGTGAGAGCTGTGGAGCTGACACTAGGGCCAGGGGCAGCACGTGGAGTCTCCCTGGCCGCCCATGCGCCTAGGAGCTGCAAGGACCTGGCGGCCAGTCCTGGGAGCCGCTCAGACCTAGGGCAGGCAGGGAGCCTGCCTTGGCCCTGGGCCCCCGCTGTGCTGCCAACCAGCCGTTTAACAGCCGAACGGCGCCGCCAGGGTCCCTTTTCGACCGGATGTTCCAGTTGAAAACCGGACGCCTGGCAACTCTAGCTGCTGCACTTCCCTGCGAGATCCTGGGCCAGTGCTGCGAACAGCAGAGGTGGCTGCTATAGATGTGACGAACAGGTGTCAATCATGCCACTTGGTCTGTGGTGGCATCTCTGCGTTGTTTCTACCATGGACAGGACTTGTGATAGGGCTTGTGGCCTGCTCCTGGCCCCACTGCATTCTGGACAATCCCCCCCCTCCGATGCTGGGGGAGCAGTTCTAGCCCCCCGGGCTTGCCCCCTCACCTGCCTCTCCTCTTACCATGCTGGAGACTTCAGGGAGGGCAAAGAGCTGCCGCAGGCCGAGGTCCGTGTCACACAGGCGCCCCAGCGTGAAGGCAGCGTTCATGCTGCAGCCTGGAATCCCAATAGGAAGAAACTCATCAGGGGCCAGATGGTCAGAAGTGCTGGGCTCTCATGCGGCACCCAGGATCGCGGGGGGGGGACAGGAAGGAAAGACAGAGGGGATGTGAAGGATCGGGGCTGGACAGTTCTGCTCTGCATGGTTGGGGGTCCCCTACAGGTTGCCTGGTGGAGAACTGGCTGCTTATGCCACTGGTGACAGGGGTGCGGCCATTTTTCAGGCTGTAGAAGCCTGCATGAAGGTGCAGAGCTGTGCTGCTGACTCACCCCTGGCAGCCAGAGCAGGTCAGTCTCATTAACTCTACAAACACCAGGAAGAAGCTTGGTCTGAGGTTCTCTGTTTGTTAGTACAGCCCTTCCTAGAGGGTTGATATACTTAAGAATAGAGGCAAACTCCAGGGAGGGGGCTGAAGTTTAGGACAATCCCCTATTGCGTGTGTGTCGTGTTTAGGAAAAGGGCTTGGGGACCCTGCCCGTTCACTAGGAGAATAATCCTAAAAGCTCCTTTGTATGGTTAAAATTCATACCCTGATCAAAACTGCACTCTCCCACTGAGCCGCTGACTGCAGCTTTGTCTCTCTGGAGGGGCATATTTCTCCATTTTCTACCATGTTAGACCTCCCAGCCTCAGGACCCATATCACAATCACCAGCCCTCCAGCCAAAGCCCAGGATGGAGAATGACAAAAGGCAACATATTCAACATGCAGATGAGAAAATGTTTTTCAACAACGCAGCGTAAAATGGCCCAGTGGAACTGGCTGCTGCAGGATATTACTGCACCAGAGAGTCCCATGAGGGTCAGACACTTATAGGACTAAGGACGGAATCTTCAGCAACACTAGCTAGGACAAAATCAACCAGGACTCTCAATCCTCATGCTTCAGGACACCAGCTGATTGTCAGGCAGGGTCAGGAAGGGATTTTCCCTCCCTGGTGCAGTACATCTTAGGAAGTTGGGGGCGTGTCCTGCGGTCTATACACCCCATGCTGGTTCAGTGGCCAAAGGTATTGGAGTAACTGCCTAACAGAGCTGATTGGCTGCCCCATGGCTGCTATGAGGATAAAAGGGCTGCGGGGAGAATGCAGAGAGAGGAGTGCTCCAGCAGGGGGTGGTGAGAAGCTGCCAGACAAACCCAAGCTCCAAAGAGGCCAGACAAGAGGCTGGGGAAGCCCACAGAGGAGGAGAGGTGGGAGCTAGCTCCGGGAGCAGCAAGGGGGTGAGCAGGATGGGTCTGGCTATTCCAAACACAGGCCCTGAGCAGGAACCCAGTGGAGTGGCTCGACCTGGGTTCCCCTACCTACTCCAGCCAGGGGCTTTTGGAGGAGAAGGTCTTAAACCTAGGAGACCTTGGGCTGATTAGCCCTGCTAGAGCCATATAACTTCTGACTCCCTGTCATCTTGAAGGGGACAGAGACTACTGAGGACCTGACCAAGTCATAACAAGGACTTGCCAAACACCAAATTAGGAGTGGTGACAGGGACAAAGCCAGGCTGGTGTAGTGCCCCCTCTCACCACAAGGGGGTGCTAACAGACAAAGGCCCCCATATTACAGGGGGTTGCTGTATTAGTGGGATTTTACCACTTCCCCCTTCAGCGTGGACCAAACACTGCTGTCAGGGGCAGGGCGACCAACTAGGTCTGCTCCCGAAGACACTTCCTAGGCTCTGGAATTAACTTCCTGCCCAGGTCTCAGTCAGGTGCAGGGTGGACCCGCTGCTCCTCCAGCCCCAGCCACTTCTCACTCCTCCCCTTACAAATCCCTGGACCCGAGATGGGAAAATGTTGCCATGGGGCAACTGCTTTCTGCTTTTGCATGGGAAGGGACCAACCCTTGCAGAGAGGGGTGCGCCTGAGCCTGGAATGAGCAGCTCAGACTTCTGGTTTGCGGCTGTCTTGGGAGTTTTGAGGAATTGGAGCCTTTAAAACCTATTCTGAAAAACTGTATCTCAGCCAGGCAGATCCCCGAGACCCCAAGACAGACAGACCCTCAGATAGTTCTGTGGACAGATGGTGACAGAGAGAATGAGAGATCTTCTCCTTGTCTGTATATTGTCCCATTTCCTCCATGACACTCCCCTGCTTTGGCCCATCCATACAATCTTATGTTCTCATTGAGCCTTTCTCCACCTCCTTTCTGGTGCCCCATGAGCCCTCGCTATCTCCACCCCAGGCACAGACCCCTGGCTCATCCCAACCCACCTGCTTCCTCTGCCGTCAGGGAAGTGATCAGCTGTCTCAGGAGGTGCTGGGCGTGGGGGTGGCCCAGCAGTTTCACGCAGCCCTCCTGGGAGCCAGCGATTCGGGCCAGCACTAGGGCAGCGTTGCTTGCCGTGCCTTCGTCAGCCGAGCCCAGCAGCGCCGTGAGCTTCTCAATAATCTCATCAGCTTTCGGGGCTTGGAGCAGCCATTGCCGGCTGGGACCTGTTTCCGCCTTGGGGGAAAAATGGGTGAAAAGATGGGAATCAGGGAAATACCTGATAGCCACAAATGGAAGGTCGGGGTGTGTGCACTCAGGAGGGGGAGAGGTTATCTGGGGCACAGCCTCCCCTTCCCTGCTGCAGCTGTCATAGCCTCCTGGATACAGCACTAGGCTAGGACTTGGGCGACCTGGGTTCTAATCCAAACTGTGACCTTGGGCAAGTCACTTCCTTGATCTGTGCCTCAGTTTCCCCTCATGTTCAATGGGGGCGAATGATCCTGACCTCCTGTGTAAAGCACTTTGAGCTCTACAGAGGAGAAGTGCAGGAAAAGAGCTGGGTATTGTGAAAGCAGGAGGGAAGTGAATCCTGTGCACCGGGCGGTATGACTGCCGCAGGGCTCTCCCGTGCTGAGGTGCTGCCCCTGCTCTGTCTGAGGCCAGAAGCTCACTGCACCCTGGAGCTCAGGCTGCTCTACGAGCCAGGGGTGGGGTTACAAAAGCCAGCCCTGTGCCCTGCAGGCTGGTGCAGCCCATGTCCCGGAGGCAGCTGGCACAGGTGAGGCCTGAGCCAGGCCAGCTGCTCTGGAAGGAGGGGCTGCCAGCCAGCTGAATCCTGGCTTGGGATTGCTAATGGACGGGTGCCTCATGCAATAGGACACTCCAAGGAGGGATTCCACCTACACAAACCTTGGAGCGCTCTGGGATCCAGCCACATGCCAGCCTACTGCCTAGGGAAAGAGCGTTCCTTACCAGGGAGCCCAGGGTACCTGCCGCATTCATCACAGCCTCTGGGTCGTCCCAGGTCAGCATGGCGCTCAGGCTATCCAGGAGCCCCTCGGAGCCCGAGCCTGCCAGTGCCACCAGGCGTGCCGCCCCGCTCTCCTTCTCGGCGATGGTGCCCAGGATGTAGGCGACGTTACTGCACAGCCTGGTACAGGAGAGAGCCAGTCAGGTCTTGGGGCTGTTTCATGTCCCACCCGCCTGGCAGAGAGCCAGGGGCGCTGCTAGCCGGGAGCAGAGTGCTGGCAATGAGACCCTTGCACCAACGGCTCCTTGTGCAACCGTGCAAGGGCTGGGGGCAACCTGGCCTGTCATTGCAAGATGCAGCCTGCCCCAAGCGCAGTGATTCACATTTGCAGGTTTGGGTTTTAGTTGAGCTGGTTGCAGGCTTTTAAGCAAATTGGCCTAATATTTTAGGAACGTATCTGTTATACCACGGTCAACTGAACCCAGCCCTGCGCTGCCAGCCGGCACTGGGGGCGTGAGGCCCCAGCAGCCCCCTCGAGCTACAGTTCCTAGCGTCCCCGCAGTGGTAAATCTGGGGTATTTGGGGTGCATTTCTCAGCTGGGCCTTGTGGTGAGGCAGAAGCCCTAGCGACGCCACAGCGCCAGGTTCCTAGGGAGTGTGTGTGTGTGGGGAGGGAGAACTGGAGTGAAACTGAGCAATGCAGCTCGAAATCCGGGCGGAGGAGAGAGAAGGGCAGTTAGGGCCCGATCCTGCAGGGTCCCCTGCGTGGTGCTGACCACCTGCAATTCCCATTCCCTTCGGCTGGAGCGGGGCGCTGGCAGGCAGCGCTGAGCGACCGGTTGATGCTGGTTGCTGTGGTGTAGGGCAGGGAAACCCAGCGTGGAGGGTGGCTCAGTGCTGAGTGCCTGGCTCCTCCGCGCTGAGTTACAGCCGTTACCATGGCGTGCTCCTGAACTTTGCACCTTCTGCAGCAGGCTGATGGGTTCCCGAAACTACAGGAAAGAGGTGGCAGGGCTCCAGCAAGAACGATACCGTTCCTAGCCCGAAGTGGCATCCTCCACACAGCCTGCCCTCGCATGCGCCGTACAGACGAGCTCACGCCTTGCATGCATGCGTAGAATTGCTCGCCTTACGAAATGCCACTGACAGCAGCAGTGCCAGGGCGGCGTGCCACCATGAAAAGAGGGGCCAGGCCCTGCATCTGAGACCTGAGAAGCTTGTTACCCTCACGCAGTGACTCCTAGCAGGGAAGGCAGGAGGGGGACAGGAAGCCCATTAGAACCATATACCCATCCCACCTCAGCTGCCCAGGAGTCTGCAGATTGTATAAGCTATAGGACAGACTCTCCAAACAGGCTGGAGGAAGGAGACAGGCAGTGACCCAGGGCAGGGAAGGAGGAAGAGCAATGAATGATTCTTCTACCTGTGAAGTTTCAGTACCTGGTACCATTTCTGGACCCTCCTTGGGAGGCAGGGACAGGTTAGATTGGCCACTCTGTGGGGCAGAGCCTGTCTGTGTTCTGTGTGTGTACAGCGCCTAGCACCGTGGGGTCCTGAACCACGAGAGGGGGTCCTAGTGCTACCGCAATACCAATACTGTACATAAATAATACTAAGTACTGGAGACCATGAGAAAGACCCATGCCTGGGAGAGCGGGGCACCTTCTTGGGGGGCAGGATCTGTGGAGGTTTGGTGTAAATTCTTACCAGGTGTCTACCATGCACTTCTGCAGTATGGCAGTGCCCCGGTGCGGTGAGTGCCCCGCTCTGCAGGCACAGCCGCCTCTGGGCATCCACCCGGGCAGGGTCCGTGGGCTTGTCTACACTACGGGGGCTTCCGTCGACCTAGCTGCGTCGATGCCGGAGGTCAAGGAGTGAGTGACAGGCCGGTGTTGTGCGGCGTGATGGAATAACAGCCCCCTTCCACTGTAAAGAGACACAGGAGCCGGACTCCTTGTTCGTTACGCCCCAGCAGTGCGCTCAGAACAGGGATGGGGAGGACGCTGCTCAGGGATGAATAATGCCCAGAATCGCACGGGGATTTTAGCCTCAAAACAGTTTGATTTTTTTGCATGAATAAAACCCACATGGGGCCAAGTTGAGCCCTGTTGCAAGCGGGTGTAACCCACACTGTCTTCGGGGGGAGCTGCCCCTGCTTATGCCAGGGCTGCATTGGAGCTGGCGATGGGTTAGAAAGTAGCTGTTTCGTCGCTGCCTGAGCCACCTGGTACATGGGACACGCCCCCAGCTGGAGTGCTGCCCCACGCGGTATCTGGGTGCACTGCGAGTGCCCAATGGGATACGGCCCCACTGCGCTCCAGCTCCCACACAGGCTGCTGCAGGGTCAGACACTGAGGTCAGGTCATTAGCCTCGGTGCCAGCGTGGTGCCCAGCGTTGCCATGCCTCCAGCCTGGAGTCATTCTTCCTGTCCTGCGGCTGGCCTGGCCTCCGCTGAAATGGCCAGCAGCAGCCTCCAGTCAGGTTAAGGCCGCTAGGTTGAAGGCCGCTACCTGACTGTCAGTGATCAGCCGTGGGGAGAGGGAGCTGTGAGCGTTTCCAGCCCGGCTGGGAAGAACAAAGCAGCCCCAAAGCCCAGGGAGAATCCAGCTAGTGCAGAGCCAGGCGCTGAGGGTGCCAGGCGCTGAGGGTGCCAGCCGGCACGGGCAGCAGCTGTGCCAAACAACTGAGCAGCAGGGCTCAAGGGAGACGAGGGTTCGACAGCTGTTTGGGGCTTTGCCATCACAACTGCATGGAGACTGAAACAGGCCGTGGCTCCAAGAGGCCCAGCCCCCACCAACTGGCTGGGGTCTGATCTCCTCAGTTTGAATGGCAGCGTCACACCCTGGAGCAGAGCCTGCCAAGCTCCGAGCCTGTTTGCCTTCCTTTGTAGCTGTGCACTGGCTGTAACAGCCTAAACGTGTCTGTACGCTGCCCTCCGAATGGGAGCCATTTATCTTCCCAGGGCCTGTTAAGGGGGTTGGTCACAACCCTGCAAGAGCAAACACCAGAGCAGGAGGCGCCCATTGTCCAGTCTCTGTAGGACACAGGGTCTGGGGATTAGAGCGCAGGAGCGTGGGGCCCAGATCCTAGGCTTCATTTAGGGGCTGAGCCAAAGCTCAGTGAGATCGGCGGGAAACTTCCCCTTGATTCCTATGGGCTTTGGCTGTGGGGCTCAAGGCTTAGACATGACTGCTCAGAGAACGGGGCAGCTGCTCAATGTCCTGTTTAACCGCCCACCCCGTGTCTTCCACGCCACATCCTCTGTCCCGCCCAGTGCAAGTACCAACATGCTCTCCACACACTGGCAGATATGTGGGTTTACTCTAGATTTAGACTCCAGTAACTACATATATGTCTATGGAGAGCCAGTCCCCTGCCTTATTCACTATGGACCCCATGCTGCCAGTAATGATGGTTAGTGTTTTCTTCTTACAGCCCCAGCTCCTGGAGTCATGTGAGTAGGTGAGCCTGGCAACTGTCATGTGGGGAAAAAAAGTCTCTTAGTGGTTGCAGAGAGGAGCTGGAAAATGTAGCAAACCCCAGCAGGCCAATAAACAGAGTCCAACTGTATCAGCTTTAAAGTCCCCTGGATTTAAAGCAATCTCATGAGCTGAATGAGGCAAAGGGCCTGTCGAAAATGGTATAGGTCCATCTGGTTAAAGACTGAACTGGAATGTAGACACAGTAGGGGCAGAGTTAAGGTCACCAGGACAAACTGATCTTTGGCATTTCCTGATGTTTTAGCACTTCACTCTGCCACTTTAACATCCCTTTACGGACTTTTTGTGGGTGGAATGTTCCTGTTTTATTTTTTAAAGGAAAACGATAAAACAATGAATTCCCATCACGTGCTGGAGAGAATCATAGAACCATAGGGTTAGAAGGGACCCCAAGGGTCATCTAATCTAAACCCCACAGATCTGAAGACCACTATGTCCTGCATCGGATGGTCCCTCGGTCAGGGCATCTGAACTGCCCTGCCTCAGTCCATGCAGTCCATCTATTCATGGACCACATGGAATGAGGCAGGGTGGATCTGGCTGTGCTAGGCTAGGAGGGTCCAGTCTGGGTCCATCTCTCGTTAGAAGCAGCCGTCATAGAAGTGGATGGTGTGTGAGAGCAGGGGAGTCACAGAAAAGCACACCGTGTCACATGGGTATCCCCACTGCGCTGTACATGGGGACTAGTCCCACACTCACTCACTCACCTCACTTTGGGAGCAGCCAGGAGACTACAAAGAGCCCCCAGATACTCTTCGCACTCAGCGTCTCCCAAGAAAACCTCCAGCATGCCTCCTTTGTCCTTGTGCAGATCAGCCACTAGGCCCTGCACAGCCTGCAGCACCTGCTGGGGGTCTGGGGAAAGCAGCACGGGGAAGGAACTGCACATTTCAGCAGCGTCCTCAGCAGGAACAAGACCAGGAGCAAACGTCCCAAGAAGCCAGGATCTAAGGGAGCCACCAGAGATGTCAAGTCAGGCAGCTGCAAAGCTTCATCCAGGTAGGTGGCTGAAAGGACAGAACTGCTACCAGGAGCTCCAGTGATCTTCCTCCTTGGAAAAGACATGGGAGCAAACACGACCTAGACAGTGGTCACTTCCAGCTCCTTTCTTCTGCATTTCTTCCAGATCTCTCTCCAGCTTATGAAGTTTCATTATCCCATCCTGGCTGCAGCCGGGGGCCCACAAAAGTGCTGCCTAGGTCTCAGATTACCAATGTAGCTAGGTCATTGCATTAGGGCATGTAGACATACATACCATGAAGGGAGCAAAACCCACACTCAGGAACTCACTGCAGTCTTCAAAGGAAAGGATAAGCCTGCCCTGGCACCTCCAGTTGGGCAGGAAACATCAAGCGAGGGTTCAGCAACCCCAGAGCCACTTGCCCCCAGGTCTGTTCTTTCCCCTGCCCCTTCTCCCGGCTGTTTCTCTCTGTAGCTCTAGGTGGATCAGGAAGCAGCAGTCACAGAGTCACAGCCAGAAAGAGAAAGTGCAAACCCAGGAGTTTGCAGCGTGTTAAGTTTTTCCTAGTGCCTTGCCTGTTCCGTTCTCCTTTCAGCCTGGCTCCCTGCAGCCAATGCCCCAGGGCCAGTGTGTGTACACATCTCATGGACTGCCAGCAGCATTCCGGGGCAGAGGGACATTTCAGATCACAGAAGATTGATGTCCTATGCCGCCAATCAAAGGGAAGCCCTGTCTGGGGAGGGAAGGCCCTTAGCTACTCCAGTTAGTTACAGTGGTTGTCAGTTGCTTTGTTGTCATACCATATTTAAAGGGGAACACCCCCGTAACAATTGGCACAAAAACACTGTAAACCAATTAATAATATAATACATGGAGATATACCTATCTCATAGAACTGGAAGGGACCCTGAAAGGTCATTAAGTCCAGCCCCCTGCCTTCACTAGCAGGACCAAGTACTGATTTTTACTCCAGATCCCTAAGTGGCCCCCTCAAGAAGTGAACTCACAATCCTGGGTTTAGCAGGCCAATGCTCAAATCACTGAGCTATCCCTCCCCTCCTTAGTCTTGCCTGCAGATGGAAATATACATTAAGGAAATAGTGTATAGAGGGGAATCCAATATCTCCTGCTATAAAGGTCAACATTCCCAATGAAAGCAGGAAAGAATTTTCAATCACTGACAAAGAGACGGCGAACAAAGGCCCCAATCTTGCAGTCGGAGCCACACATCCCATGCAGGGTCAGGCCGTAAATGATTTTCTCCCATGTGCCCGCTGTCAGATGCGTCTGTTGCCCTGTGCAGGTGATTTGGTGCTTCCTGGTGGGAAGGGAGAAGGCAGAGAACAGTAGGCCGCTTATCTTTTGAATGAGAATCTCTCATTCAGAACTAGTGAGCCTGGTTTATTTTGTTTCTGCAGCGGGGGGAGGGGGGGTGAATGGGATTGTGTGACCATTCTCCGCACCAGCAGGGAAGAGATGAAATCTCCACAGGTTTGTTCATTTAGGCAAAGATGAAATGGACGCCCTGCACCTTGGGCTGGCATGTGCACGGAGCACGGAACGGGTGATTGGTGTTGTGTTTCTCTTTGCACGACGCAGGCGGGAGAGAATCAGGACAATAGCCCTCTGTAACTGAACAACGCGTGTCTTTCCTTGTGTTACTAGTAATGTAACCCACTGGTCAGGGTGTGCGGTGTGTCCCCTCTAGGGTGACCAGATGTCCCGATTTTAAAGGGACAGTCCCGTTTGGGGGGGCTTGTTCTTATATAGGCGCCTATTACCCCCCACCACCGGCCCGTTTGTTCACAGTTGCCATCTGGTCCCCCTAGTACTTGGCAAA